GTGGGAGTAGCAGTAGCAGTAGCGGTGGTAGTATTAGTAGTAGTAGTGGTGGTGGTGGTGGTGGTAGTAGTAATAGTAGTGGTAGTAGTAGTAGTAGGTGGTAGTAGTAGTAGTAGGTGGTAGCAATAAAGTAGTAGTGGTAGTAGTTGCTGTAGTAGGAGGAAACAGGACAAGACGCAGAAACAGAAACAATAGCAATAATTGTAGAACTAATAATCATAGTAACGGTAGTAGTGGCGCAGTGCAGACGCAGGGCGCTGGAGCAACCTTTTTTGAATCAGTGAAAAAGGTTTCTATCACTTAGGATAGGCAGCGCGTAATGCAACTATGCGCTCGGAAGCACTCATTCCCTGACAAGCCAGAGCAAGGAAGGACGGCGTGCGAGGACAAGGCAAGTTGCAAAGTAAAGGTCCTTCCATGGCGAAGGTGGGGGAGGTGGTTGCGCTTCCTGGGAACATCGCGAGCATAGGAGAGAAGATACAGAAGTAATAATAGAATATATATATATATATATGGTATGGAATGACACGAATCAGCTGGAACGCCTTTTCAGGTGCATCTCTGGCCTCGCATCGAGGGGCTCACGCAAGTGTAGGATGCGCCAACTTGGCAAGCTGAGGCCATAACTTGAGGAGGAACTTTTGGAAGAGGAGCCTAAAGGAGACGCACAATCCGGAAGAATATGAATAGGCGCAAGCATTGTCAAGGGCAAACAAAACACGTGAGCTGCGAGAAAGACCTGGTTGTATGTCAGGGCCTCGACCGGTCTCGGAGGTGGTTCTCCACTGCCCACATCCTGAAGCAAGCAGCGACATTGGTTGGGAAAAGGTGGATATGGCGTATTGTATATGAACTTCGCAGAATGCATGCTTAAGAATCATCCAGCCTGCGGCGTGCCTTCTGCTGTGTCCAAGTCCTGACGTGAGAAACGGACGTGAGCAAAAAGTATCAAAAAATACAGCCCATGCCTCAAAGTCGGCAGCAGCAGTGTCGTCATCCTGCAACGCGCGAAAGCAAGGGTAAGATCAAACACGCGACACCAGCTGGCCTTAGAAAGCCACTCTTGCGCAGCGCTCTGGATCTTGCAAAGAACTCCAGCAGGGATAGCGGGGAAGATTGCAATGAGATCCGCAACGGGAAGGGAGGAAATTTGGTGGACCGAGGTCTGCTGTTTGTGAAACAAAGGTCCCCAGAGATGCAGGTCGTATGCCCGGATGAAATTGGCCAGCGAAGGCCCTGAAAAAGGTGGCAAAGAGACAGGGACGCGGGACTGCGCAGTCACCTGCCGACGCTGGGTAGGCAAAATTAGCTGTTGAACTGGCTGCTGCTGGAAGAGCGGTGTGCGAGCTTGACGCTCTGGAAACACAGGAACTTGCATCGAAATGTGCTCTAAATGCAAGAAAGCAGCATGGGTGTGCTCGCAGCTTGCGTGCAAGCAGAACCTCGCAAGAGGCACACCAAGCTTGTGTGTGCAGCTGCTCGTCTTCCCCTTCTACATTTTCTCGCCGCCAAAACTTTTTTGCTTGCGGCCCAACGACAACCAGAACATGATCGTTGAAGAAACGAACCAGCCTCTCCAGGTCGGAGAGGGGAGACGCGCCAAAATCCAAGCGCTGAAGGGCAGCTTCTAGGGCAGGCGATGAGTCAGCGAAGATGAGAGGAGCAAGCTTTTGAGCAAGCCCATGAGGGGGAGAGCCCACGTCTGAATCGGGGACCTGCAGCCACGTGGAAGTGGAGTGATCGTAGGAGCACAAGGACCGGCGCATCGCAGAATACGATAAACGCGCAAGGTCTCGGTCTTCCTCGCCTTCTTCCCTTTTACATGCTTTTCGTCCGCTTCTCCATTGGCACCCCCTCAGCGTTACGAGGACAAAATCGCATAGATGCATCTACAGAATCCTTGTGGGGTTGAGATACAGCGACACCGAAGCTACTGTGATTGTTCGACAATAATACTGTGGGTGGGGGCTCGAGACACCTCATCTACAAGTAATGGTAATCATTGTAAACAGAGAAAGAGTTCTTACTGCTTGCGTCACACAGCTCCTACGCAGAAGATTTGCTTACGGTTTGTTGCTTGCAGGTCCCCGACACAAGAAGAAAGCGGTTCGAAGGTGTGACCGCGATCTTCTGCTATCCAACTCACAAAGAATGGCGACTGCAACTCTGCAACATGTGGAGCGCAACCACCAAATGTGCAACTAGGCCACTGTCTGGCACAAGCTTCACGCCCTTGGATAGCAAAGAAGAGCGGCTCGTTGTCCCGAATTCTGAATCTCTCTCTCAAGCGCACGTCCTTTTGTGAGTCGCGTATTGATGCGACAGCTCAAAGCATCAGAAATGAAGGTACGTGAGCTTTACCATGTTTGTGCCACTGTTATCTGCAAACAAGGCACACACAGATCGCCCACGCGAGTGTCAGCACAAAAGCGCTCCATGAGCCAAGACGGAGCCAAAACTTGCGCTGGAAGCAACCATCTGCAGAACACGGTTCCCTAGAAGTCCAAAGACTATATTTTGACCGGCTGAAGTAAAGGAAGTTCCCTTTGAGGTCTCCTAAAGACCATTCTTTTTATAGTCCTTGACTCCCAGGGGTTACTATGGAGGAGGAGGCCAAGGAACCAGGAGATCAGGACTAAGATCTGCGCTCACAAGTCATAAGCAACAAGATCGATAATACATAGTTGTTTTTGATGTTACCAGGGACCAGGGCGTTGGTTTCTCAAAAGCGCCAGTGACAACTAATAATTAGAAGAACAAAGATACCAACCCAGCAGCAGAAAAACAAAAGAAGCAGTGAGAAGCAAGGAAAGGCAACACACGCACAGAAAAGCAGGAAAAGTAACAAAGCAAAGAAGCGGTGAGACGCAAGGAAAGGCGAGACATGCACAGAAGGGGAAACAAGAGCCAGAAAAGTAAGCAAAAACAAAAAGCAAAAAGCAAAACAGTTGCCAAAGCAGAAGAATAGAAGAAGCAAAGAAGAACAAACAAAATGGAAAGCACAAAAACATACAAAAACATAGTTTTAAAAAACACAGCACAATGAGAAAAAACAGCAGAAGCATATGCAAAAGCAAAAACGCAGCAGAAACAGAAAAGCTGCAAAAGCAGAATCCGAAAAAAGAAACATACCAAAAAACAAATGAACACATTCCGTAAAAAAATGTACCTTCCAAACATAATTCAATATCAATCTGGAGCGGTCACCAGGATATGGAACGACCAAAGAGACGAAGGGACCAGGGGACCAAGAGACTAGGACCAGCAAACCAGTAAAGCTCAAGGGACTAGGACATTCAGGAAGCAACAGAGGGAGCAAGAGGTCAAAGGGACCAAGGGATCAGGGGTTTAAGGTTTCTTTAGGCTTTGCTCACGGCTTCGCTTTTGGGTTTTCTTCTTTAGGGTTCTATTTTGGGCCTGGTTGAGGGCTTCGTTTCTTTAGGGTTTCTTTGTGCTTGGCTTGAGGCTTCAACCCTTTAGGGTTTCTTTGGGCTTGGCTTTGAGCTTCGTTTCTTTGGGGGTTCTTTGGGCTTGGCTTAGAGCTTCGTTTCTTTAGGGTTTCTTTAGGCTTGGCTCAGGGCATCGTTTCTTTAGGGTTTCTTTGGACTTTAAGCTTCGCTTGGGCCTTCGCTTCTTTAACGTTTCTTTGGGCTTGACTTGGAGCTTTCTTGGAGGATTAAAGAAGCGGGAGGGGGTTCGGGGGAGGGCGCAGCGCCTCCCCCGTAACGCAAACAAGTATGGACAGCATGTTTCAAAAGCAGCGGCGGCAGCAGAAGGATAAAGGGATGTAGCAGGAGAACCAAAGGACCCAGGGACCAGGGGACCAGACGACCACAGGACTAGAGGACCAGAGGACCAAAGGACCAGAGGACCAAGGGACCAGGGGACCAAGGGACCAGAGGACCAAAGGACCAGAGGACCAAGGGACCAGAGGACCACAGGACTAGAGGACCAGAGGACCAGAGGACCAAAGGACCAGAGGACCAAGGGACCAGGGGACCAAGGGACCAGAGGACCAAAGGACCAGAGGACCAAGGGACCAGGGGACCAAGGGACCAGAGGACCAAGGGACCAAACATTTTTTTTTTGATGCTTATTAATTTTTTCTTGATGCCTATCAATTTTTTTTTGATACCTCTCCCGCACCCAAGTGGGACAACTGAGCGAGTCACACTCTGACATTGGCTTGCTGTTAACTCGGTTCCCAAGTCAAAGAAACGTGGTGGAACAGAAAGGCGAAGAGTCCAAGCATTTGTAGGTGTTTGAACAAAGTGGTTTCACACTTGATTGCGGAAGCTAGTTACTGCATTAGCCCTTTACTGCAAGAACAGTAAGGTGCAAGGGTCCGAAGAAAAGAACTGTTTAACAAACGCTTTACCAAAGCTAAGGAAACCTGTTTTGGGGGATATCATGCGAACAACCACCATGGAAACAACAAAAGGAAAAGTGGAGCGTGTGCAAAAGTTTTCATCCGCGCAGGTACAGAAGTTTGCGTCCAAACTTCCATCCAGTCGATTTCCCTAGCTTCGTTGGCGTGACTAGGAAATCGACCGTCATGCCCCCTGCGACTTAAAAGTTGAGAAAAACAGAAACTCTTAGTTACAGAGGTGGACACACACACACACACACGCACACCACCCCAACAAAAAGTCCAGGGCCGCACCCCAAAAAGCATCCCAACACGTCACCAGCACCACGAAAAGGTCCGGTCCAGTACTGCACCACTTCCTTGGAAGTTTTCACCGCCACCGGGGCAGAACTGGCCGAGCTGGGGCATGTCCACGCTGCCTGTGTTCGCCGTTTCCACAGGCCGGGTGCCGGGTCAACGACCCGTAGCATCCGCGGCAGGTGCTTCTTTTGGGGGGGGGAGGCGAAGACATGCACCCACGCCAACCGCCCAACAAAAACGGACTCCCTCGCGGCGAGCACGTGCTGTACCAGGCTGTACCATCTCGCGCGGGGCCTGGACCATCTCTCCCTTGATGAAGTGCTCTCCCTCGCACCACCAGCAGTGGAGGGGGAAGTCGAACTTCGGTGTGCCGGCGTGCTTGAACTTGTACCTGACAGCGACGGCTGTAGCGACATGAAGATACTGTATACCAGCACCTTCATTCCGGGGTCACCTGGCTGGTTTCGCCCCTACAATCACTATTCGGGATCTCCATTCAACACCCCTTTGAAGGTCCAGGTATACCGATGTGCCTGGGAACCCCAAAAGCAACGCAACTGTCTCATCTCTCGTGTCGAGGGCAAGGCAACGGTCGAGGCCTTTTGAAGGTCTGGAAAGGTGATTGGGAAAAGGTCACTTTGAAGAACCAGGAAGTACCAGCAGAGGTGGGTCAGAACCCTAGTTCGACTATCCTATAGGTACTCCTGTAGGGTCCTAGTTCAGGTCACTTAACCTCTGTAGGTAGGTTTCCTTCCACTTCTTCTCGTTCCAAAACCTTTCGTTTGTCCGGAGTGTTTGCCTGTGTTTGCATGCGTCGGGCTCGACCATTTTGCAAAGAGATGGACTATCGTCTACATGCCCCACAAAGGAAGGACCAGCGCCCCACTCTACAGATCCCCCAAATGGTGGCTGAACGGAGACTTACAAGTGGCGGGTGGTGACCTGGCAGTGAGGACACTGGTCAAAGCCTAGGGCCTAGGTTGACGTATCTTGCGGACATCTAAAACCGTCCCCTGCTCCAATGGTCCGACTATAGGTGATTTCCTTTACATCAGTCGAACTGGACTTCTACGGCTGCTGGCGCCATCTGCTTGAGTTCAACAGCCTCACACTCAATGGGTTGCAAGGTGACTTTGCAGTTTGCAAGGTGCTGACGATTGAGAAATCCCCGCATTCCCTGCCCCCTGTGAACTCCTCGGTGTGTGGGTATAAACGTCACCAGCAGTGGGTCTCCAAAAACGGCCACGTGGCCGGACGATACGGACAGCCACGAGTCTGAATTGGATGCTCTTAAAGCGATTTCTGGATATTCCTTTCCCTAGACTTCCAAGACCATTTAAAAAATGGTTGACCTGGTTTTTGTAGTGTAAAATCCCTAGTTGATTTCATAAAGCCTATTAAATTAATGGTTGTTGGAAGCCTAGGGCTTTCACTTTCTGCACATTTAGTCTGACAGCTCCCTCACCCACTCGCCCACCCCGCTCCCCACCGCCAGATCCTCCCAGCCCCGCGCTTTCCAGGGCCCTTCTTCCCAGCCGCGCTTCTGAGAAGATCCCCATCCTCCAGCCACGAGGGGCCCACCCGCTTCTTCCCATGTCCCACCCATGGCCCACCAACAGAGGTTGAAGGACCCTAGTTCGACTATCCCATAGGTACCCCAGGTGACAGGTCCTATAAGGTTACTTCACCCCTCTTGGCACCATGGCAAGGAGTCGTCTGCCCGAGTGGCTCGTCGAAGAGCTTGAAGTCCGCGCGCATCATCGGCTCCCAGGTCTCTTTCCAGGTGGGCTCCTCGAAGACGACCTCAACGATCAGACGCCCCATCTACAGAGGTTAAGTGACCTGAACTAGGACCCTACAGGAGTACCTATAGGATAGTCGAACTAGGGTTCTGACCCACCTCTGCTGGCAAACCCCAGGGTCGGTCATGTGATGTCCATGAGTGGAGGGGCGTCGAGTTGAGTGGGGGGCAAGGACGGGGCTCTCCACGGGCTGGGTGGAGATGGACCATCAGTTCGCTCGAGTTTGGGACCTCTCACGGTGAAAAGGACCTCTCGCAACAGGTCTACAGCTTCAGGGTCAGCTGGGGCTCCGCGGGGAGGTTTGGATCGGTGAAAGACTCTGGAGGTCGCGTTGTTCCTGGTGACAATGTCTAAGAATCGAAATGGGGCTACTCATGAAGAAGACCCGGAATGACAAGGGAATGGAACAAAAGGGTTCAAACCATGTTCAAAGAAAGAGCTCTGTCTATGGGGACGCTGTCCCAATCACAAGGCCATCACTCCACGCCTTGCCATGACCACCCTGCATGAATCTGCCCATCTGATCACGGACCAGTAGTTGTGGGGGAAAGACAACTCTTGGCATTCTAGGTGTCCACGAAACTAGAAGGAGGGTGTGTCATTCGTTCGGTGTTCATTCTAGGTGTTGCTGGAGGGTGTTGCATGCTGTCTTCCACCACCAGCACCCGCTTCCGCATCCACTCCAGTGGGGTGAAGGTGAGTTTCGTCGAACGACTCGGAACGGCACAGGCCTTGCCCGCGCCGCCGAAGTGTGTGCTGTCCCAGTTCAAGACTTCCTGGCAAAGTTCTGGAAGGGATCAAATGGGTTTCATGTACCCTAGACGTCCTGCTCCACCAGTAAATTCATAGGCTGAATCCTGAAGCAACCCAGGATTTTGCACTACACAACCAGGTCAACCAGTTTGGTTATAGTCTTGGAAGTCTAGAGTGTACCCAAAAGCAAACCTCTCCCATCCACGCTTCCAAGGGTTCTTTTTGATCTGGACAAGGAACATGATCAGGATGGCTGGGAGAAGGAACATGATCAGTCAGCCATCCAGCTAGCTTTCTGCTAGCTAGCGCCAGGTGTCCGGATTTCAGCTCCAAACGATTGAACAGAATGTTCCCTGCAAATGCATTTGCCCGTCGCGTTCTATTAAGAGAAAAGTTTAAAAGGATCTTCATTTTATAAGGGTACAGTCTTGAAGGCAGGGAAAACAGAAAGACTCATTCAGTTGCTTCCAGGCAAAGCTACACCTGGTCTGCTTGGAACTGCTTGGTCACTTGCTTTGCGCCAACAGCAGTCCTTCCTGACAGATAGGACTCCAATGGGATTCTCTATCACCACCAAACAGCAACATGGTCTCCGAACCTGCAGGGATTCGCATCCCCCAGCAGTCGCTGCCTTCTTCATCTCTGCATCGTTCAGCTTGGCATTCCTCCTCCAAGGGCCTCAGAGAGTAATCAACCGACCATGGATCGCATTGAGTTTTCCTGCTGGAGAGAAAGAAGCGCACCTTTTGCTTGGGCGGCATTCCAAGAGAGGTAGCCAGTGACCTCATCTGAGACCCGTAAAACCTGGGGTACCGGAGCTGGGATAGTCTATAACCAGTCCCAGACACTCCATGGGACTGCCATATATGCCGATCAGTTGGGGAGGTGTGGGGGGTTGGCGGCAGGGGCGGCAGTCCTGGCAGTCCGGGCGCCACGTTGGTGTCTGGGAGTGCTTCTTCAACCTTTGGCTGCTGTGGATGATCCCAATCCTGAACAACCAGCAGTTGAAGAATCCTAGTTCGACTATCCTAGTTGGGTACTCCCTGGTTTTCCGGGTCCTAGTGACCTGGTCACTTCACCTACCTCTGTAGGAAGCCCCGACGAGTCACGCGGTCCACAACTCGAGTTGGGCGCCTTCTTCCGCCCCCTCTCGCCGCTCCCCAGTCGCCCCGAGCCGCCGGACGCTTCGTCTCGGGCCAGTGTGGTGCAGGGAAGGTGACCTGGGTGGCTGGTGGCTGTTTCTCATGGACTTGCTGGGTCCATGAAGACCGAAAGATCAGAACACATCGATCAATCTAATCTAATCATGCCATGGCGATTCCACTGGGGGGGAAAAATCCACCATCAATCACCCGATCCGGCCAAAAACACCGGGTTTTTCCACCGCGGCGGTTCTTCGACCGTGGCTCCTGCGGCCGACCTGCTCCGCTGTGCCGTACTGAGCCCCGTCGCAAAGAAGGCCGCCAAGGGCATAGGCAGGCCGATCTGCACCGAGGGGTCGGTAGGGCAATGAGAAACCGAAGGGCCCAAAGCACCCCAAAGATGTGCCAAAAGCCAGTGATGTCTCTTCCCTAAGATGAAGACTTATGGGTTTGTATTGCCAAGAGGAGTATTGCTTGATATTAGGATCATCCCTGCCCTAAGACTAAGAAAACACTCTTCCTGTCACAACAGAGGGTGGTTCCTTGACACCCCAGAGAACAAACAAGGACACCTTGGTTGTTTTGGTCATTTCCATTGCCAAATGAGACGACTTGCCATCCATTGCCAAGTGCTTTTCGCGCATTCCCAACAATCCTTTGCGGTCGACTGCAGAATCTTCTTTAACCATCCAGTTCATTGCAATTCTGAGCAGAAATGCAACTGCCCGTGCTTCCTCGTCCTTTCCTAGAGAGGTTGAGCAACCCTTTTTTGCCCTGTGTGTACCACAGACCAGGGTCTGTAACGTTCAGCTCTCTCATCCAGTTAGTTCGCATGAACTGGATACGTCCGCGGCTTCAAATGCTCAGACCGAAGCGAAGATGCGAAGGCCGCGACCCGCCCAAACGACCCGCGACCCTCCGGGGCCGCGACCCCTCGCGCCGCGAGCGACGCCTTTCGCGCGTGCATGAGGAACTCGAAGCCGACCCAGGTGCCCACCTGGCTGCCGAGCGGGAGCACAGTTTGCGAAATACTCTGAGTTTGCTGAAAGTATTTCAGGAACCGGGAAGAAAAAAGTCTCTTGATAATATATAGACTTCCAAGACCATTTAAACAAAAGGCAAAAGCTGGTTTGGTAGTGCAAAATCCTCAGTTCAACCAATGGGTTCTTCGAGATGACCCGCCTCTTAAATCACTTGGTGGGCCAGGACATGCATGCGGGAGATGCCAGGAAGGGGGACTCACCTTTTGGAGAAAAATCATCATCCCCATCCACCAAACCCCGAAGAAACGGTCTTTATAAGTGTTTGACGTCCATCGAACGGGACGCCGGATGGGTCCACGCCTTTCATGTGTCCTGACCTTCTGCTTTCTGCCTTTCTTTCCCATGGCCCCATGGCCTGTTGGACACGGGATCACCGTCCAACAAGTCATACCTGGATCTTCCAACTATGCAAAGTGTTTCTTTTTTCATCCACAGAACCCAGCCGGATGGCAGAAATGTTGCATGCTTGGTATGCTTGCAGGTATGTTTGCAGGTATGCTTGCAGTGTTTGTCCATTCTTTTGTGTGCACAAAATGTATAGCCAAACATGACGCCCATATTGACTTGTTCAAAGAAGCTTTCTCCCTGCAAGTCCAGATCGACTAGAAAATGCACCCCCGAAGTAGAGCACATTCCTGAAATCGGATCTTTTAGTCCGACAATTGTTAAAATAAACCCCCATAGGCCCCATAGGAAGATCTATAAGAGTCTGATAGTTTAATAAGAGGTTTTACAATCCATGTCTGAGGGCAGTCTGAGGGGTCAATCAACAGTCAGGCGCTTGGACTCCCAGGTTTTGAGCTGTCACAGCTGTCCCAGCCTGCCGCTGGGGTTCCGGACCGAGTGGCCCCAAACGATGTAGGGAACACCATCGGTGAGCTTCTCATAGGCCACACCCTGCATTGCTCGCATGCCCCGATTTGCTTCTCATGGGGCCCGCACTGGATGTGACAAGATGAAGGATTCAGGTTGCCGGATATCGCAATGCAAATCGTATCCAAAGCGATTATCAATATTATCAATGTCTTTGTGGTTTCCTTCGACGTGATATGGTGTGGCGAAAGACACCTTGGTGGGAACTGGGATGTGCTCTCCGAATTGGCAAATCACTCCCAATGCAAACCACATGACATGGTTCATTTCGCCGCTTAACGAATAGGAAGGCTAGCATGCATACCATACTGGAAGATCTTGTTTTGTCTATATGAGGTAAAATGAGTTGCGCTATGTTAGTTGCGCTGTAGTATTTCTGGACATACAAATGACAATCCCTCCTACAAAAACGTGTGAACACCTATTAAATCATATACTAAATCAATATAAGCCTATTAATCCAAGCACATCATACATTCCAACATCGTCATCCTCTACATTCGATCGACTCTTTCCACACCATCCCACTCTCCCGTCTGCTTCTTCCCCTCACCCATCCCCTCACCCTTTCCTTACCCGGCCCCCGCGCACCAGCAGCTCCGGCGCCAAGGTCTCCGTGGTCGTGTGCTTCGTGGCCTTCAGCAGCTTGTCGCGGCCGGGGTAGTCGAAGGCCATGACCTCCACCTGCCTCGGTGCGGCGAGCACGGCGAGCATGGCGAGCACGACAGGGGGGGGGCGGAGGGCCACGTTCCTGCAGCTTCTTTGATCTTGCCTCCTAGAGGAGAGGTCCTGCACCTTGCCACCCCTCTTTTTCTCGGTCTGAAAGAAACCATATACCCATCTCCTTCACCCGAGCCAGCTCCCCGCCGAACCAAACGTCAAACGCTAACGGCTGCGGAGTGGATCGCGAGGAGGTTCCGACCCACCCAACGACGGACGTTTCTGACTCCACCACCGTGGAGAACCTGCCCCCCCCCCAACTGCTGCGCCCCACCCCCCCGCACACGGGCGAACACCGCTTGTTTGGGGCGTCCGCTCCCAATGGTATTCAGAGGTTCGATGGCACTGGCACCCCAAGAGGTCCTTCAGATAGGGGCTCCATTATTAAAAATAGACCACCTTTTGGGGAGTGTGCCATCGAACCTCTGAAACCCACTGCATCTTCACCCATCTACTCAGGGTCGTCGGGTTCAGCTTCCTCCTCCCTTTCTCCCATTCTCCGCCCCAGGTGCTTCGTTTCCTTCACCCAGTCGATGAACGGCGTCTTCGGCCTCCGCGGCGGCGCCCGCGTCCCGCGGCGCCCGCGTGGCGAGGTGGCGAACGCCTACCAAGAGAGGTTAAGTGACCTGAACTAGGACCCTACTGGAGTACCTATGGGATAGGCTAGTTCGGGTCCTTCAACCTCTGTTGGCTATGGCTGGACTAGCCTCCATTTCTCTCCGGGATCTCCATGGATGGGACACCCATTGATCATTGGATATTGGATGGTCGCAGGTATCATTTATAAATTTATATACATGCCTCGAGACAGAAACAAGTCTGGACAGTCTGGGTGTGTTTTGTTCCCCAGTCCCCACCACTTGCCATGTAAAGGATCGAGGCATTGCCACTCCTGGGAACAACCATGTGTGTTCAGTGTTTTTCCCGGCTTCCAGGCGGGTCAACATTGGGATGCTGGATCTTCCAACATCATCCAAGAACACCACTCATCCAAACTGCATCAAACTGCCGAATGCTTTAGGAACTTTAGGTGTTGGACTCTTCAGGAATTCTGGGATTCTCCAAAATGTAAAAGGCCATCCGGGCGCGCCATGACGCCATTCGTGGAAAGCAGCCGTTGTGAAGCAGCAGTCCGAAACGAAACGAAGGTCATGACTGTACCCGAAGGGTGGCACCCCCCAGTCCCACCGAACCTCAGAAGGTACGACTGGAGCCCTAGGGTATATGTATGTATAATATATACACACAGAAATCAACTTCCATGAAAGTCCTCAAAGGAGTGCCCATCTCGGCGCCACTGAGGCCCGTCTATATGGAGCGAACCCACCTCAATCTCTCCATCTTTTGCCACCGACCTCCCCCCGTGCGACTGGTTGACCCTCAGAACCTCTGCGTCCCCCGGCCCGGTGTAGATGGATTCCGCGCTGCCGGCGTTGTGGAAGCACAGCACGCGCAGCTTGGGCTTGTCCAGGGGGAAGCCCAGCACCTCTCGTGTCAAGTGCCGCGGCGCGACGGGCCCCGGCTCGCCGCCGCCGGCGCGCCACGCAGGTGTCGTGGAAGAAGGAGGGTCCAAACGATCGCGTTCCAGCCAAAGGAACCCACGGCCCGAAGATGATGAGAGGCAAGGTGGCAAGGTGGCATGCTTTGGCACCTGGGTTTCCCCAGTCCCACACATGGTTGGAACCCAAGGAGTGGCAATGTTTTGCTCCTTTTACATAGCAAGTGGTTGGGACTGGGGAAAAACATCCAGAGTTGTTTCTGGTTGGGACTGCGTCTCCAGGCCGCTCCGCAGCGAAGCAGGAAGCATGTCTGTTCGGGGCAACCAAAAATGGATGCTATTGGATCCGAATGTCTGCCAGAAAAAAACTGCTGCATCCCGGATTCTTCCAAGACGTCGCACCTTGTACTTCATGCAGTACAAAAGGAAGTCGTCTTTCTTGGCCTGGCACCGAACAGCTCCCGAAGTAATGCTGGGTCGACTCGCAAAGCACACATATGCACACCACAAATCCGTCTCCATGCCTGGAGATTCACCCAAAACAAACCCAGCAAATCCAGCTTCCTGTACAAATTGTAGGCGAACCCAGTGGTTCCCCAAGAATCTACACCCCCAGCAAGACTCTCGGCTCAATTCCTGTCTTTGGCAGGTTCGCCAGGAGTTCGCCAGGTTCGGGATACTGTACTCATCAACCCGGCATCAAACAGCAACGGCCTCCTCCACCCCCACCTCCCGAATGTCCGGTTGCCCTGGCGCTTGCCCTGGCGAACCTGTACCGCAGGACTCCCAGATTCCAGCAGAGGTGGGTCAGAACCCTAGTTCGACTATCCTATACCAGCACCTTCCAACAGGTCTCCTTTGGAGGGTAGTTAGGCCCTAACAGGTTCCAATTGGTGACCTGTTGGATGTGCTAGTAGGTACTCCTGTGGGCCCTCTGTATACGCTTTGAGCTCCCTGCGAGTCCGAACACGGTGGCGCGCCCAAGCGGAAGCGAACACCAGCGAGCGAGCTGAGCGAGCTGAACACGGAACCCGGACCGTTCTTCGGTGTTGGCGCTCACAAACCGGGGGGCCCGATGAATGCCACTTCCATCTGAAGTGACCTGAAAAAGGACTCAAAAAAACCGCTGGAAAACACGGGAGAGTCAAGAGGATTCTTTAACTTTTGTTGGGGGGCGGATCCTTCCTTTAGTCACTCCCAAACAGTCTCAACGGCTCACGTGGTTCGAGGTCCGTTGCTTAGCCGCACCCGCTGCGCCGCGGCTCGGGCCGCAGGCCGCTCGGCCGCTTGGCGCCTTGGAGATGTCGAGGACCTTCGCCTTCAAGGCTTCGTCCACCTCCACGGGGCCCGATGCCTCTCCTCGAGTCGGCCCGCCGTGCGGTCCTTTGGGACGAGGTTTTTCCAAATTCAGATTCCAGGGGACCTACCAAAACGTGGAGGTTTTTCCCCCACTTGGAACGCTTGGAACCAATGACACCGTTCTTGTCATCCAGCCAAGCACCATGCCGAGTGCAGCCACTGAAACCAGACCTTCGGAAACCATCCCTTCGTGTAGGCTAGACTCTCGTGGCCTCATCAGATCCCTAACCATGACAGGTTTTGCCCTCTCCTGGACCGCCAACATCCTCAGCAGGTGTGTCATCCACCTCCTTCTTCACCACAAGCTCCTGTTGTGTGCATGGCAGCTAAGCAAGCTTGCTTCCGAACTCAGAAGTTGGCTCAGACCTACTGAAGCACTGGGTGTTTCACCATGGCCAGCACTGTCCAGGACCCTTCTAGGCCCTTAAGATCCTTAAGTCACCCAGTTTGCCAACCTCATCTTCTCACTTGCTGGCTAAGTCGACTCGTTTGATGGCAAACCTATGCTATCCGACCTTGCGAATCACGGAGGGGGTGCAATTCATTGGTGCCCATAATATACCATTCATATACTTTTGTATTGGTTGTTCACAACCCGGGAGGAACCCCCCCCCCTCCTGCGAATCAACCAACCCGACGCCAAGGCCAGACCGATGAATCGCACAGCCCGGAGGCTCATCCGACCCGATGTTTAGACGGTCCAGTTCACCCTGGGCTGTGAGGGTCCAAACCCTAGAGCGAACTGAGGGTCCTGCCACTGAGCCTTTTGGGAGCTGGGATTTTTCTTGAGATCTTCTGGAGGGACCCTTCCATCCCCTTCCGAGAAAACTCGCGGTCTCCCGAATCGAAACATCTGATGTTCTGCCCTCCATCTGGCTGGGCTCAAGAGGCCAAAGCCTGCAAAAATGAAATTGTTTTCATGCATCGAATTTAAAAGAACTCCGGATTGGCAGAATGAATGCCCTTTTTAAGCATTGGACACCTGGATCTGATAGATCCCAGCTGATAGACCTCATATGATCAGCCTCCAAAAAGACTTCTGTATACACCAGGAGTCACAAGATGAAGGGATCCTTTGGGGCCTCATCCAGCGTGGATGTTCTAGGCACCCCCAGGGCAGTGACCTCCCTCCTCCAAGTCCTCCAAGGTTCGGCACCCAAAGCTCAGTATACCCGGCTGAAGTCCAGTTCGACGATATGTTGACCGGCTGGAGTGTTCAGGAAGTGTCCAGACTCAGTTCCCCTATAGTCAGAGCATTCTTTTGAGAGTCGAGCTTGACCCCGACAGGGTATATACTTCTGTGTCTTCTGTTGTCATCCTCTCCATCTTTAGTGCCGCAAGCTCAGCTCAGCCTTCCCTGGCTGCGCGCCTTGCCACTGATCTTGGTGCTCACCCAGCCCTCATCAGGCCCTGTGCCTGCGGCTTGATGGCTTAATGACTCCGTCGCAGGTAGACTACGGTAGACCGCGGTAGATGTTGAATGATGATATTGATCGATATAGACCACATCATATACCCTGGGAGTCCAAGACCGTTTGTAAAGCTGTTGACCTGGTTGACCTTGTGTTGTAGTATCACACCCTTCAGTAAAATGTTGTTCGGTAAACGGTGAAGACCATTATGATGGTTGGAAACAAAGGGTATATAGTCACACCTCACGGACATCACACCCATTTCACCCCATACTCCGCCTCTGAGCGCGCCGCGCCTGTGAGGCGCTTGTAGTGCAACCGATCGCCCACCAACTTAAGCTCCTCCACCTGGCCCCCCCAAAGTGGTGAAAACAAAGGGGTGGAGAGTTGTTAGCCATGGGATTTGTTGGTTGATCAATGTTGATATCATCCTTTTTTGAGATGCGTGCCACTTTGTGGCAAATCGTAGTGGATAATTCTGGCAGATTCGTGCAATCTATTCTCAAATGGACGTCTATAGGAAGTTACTAATGACCCCCCACAAAAAAGTAGCTTCGGAAGAGTTCGGATCCAACCACCTTTGTTCCAGCAGACCTGAGCTTCTTGGTCCAGGGCTGCCGTAACTCCACTTGCGTCCTCTTCACAGAGGCCACCAATTTCCGAGTTGCGCGCCGCTCTTTTTCTCTCCCCGCGCTTTCGCAGTGGTGAACCGCAACGGGATCTCCCTAGCGCTGCCTGAGCGGGCGGACCGCGTGGCGGAGCGCACAAAAGCCGGGTGCGCACGCTTGAGGAAGCTGGGAAAAGGTGAAAAACCTCGTCCCCCTTGCCGGTAAAGCTTGAGAAAAAAACAATCAAGACCATGCAAAAATGGGTGAGGCCCATTTTTTCGTGGTGACATAATATATGATTCCGGACATCCTCGGGGCCAAAAGAGCGCCACATGGCGCTCTTGACCTCAAAAAACCGCTGTGCAAAGTGGTTTGGATTCCGAGGAGATTCCGGGATCCAAAGGTCGTGCAAATGCTGCTCTTTCTCCCTGTGAAGTCCAACCATGTCCAACCATCTGAGGGGCTCGAAAGGTCATTAGCCTGGCAAACATCTGCCAAAACCAGCCCCCCTTAGGGGCTTCCCCCAACCATGAAAGGAACGACCGCCTTAAAACCTCTCTGTCCACGAACCGGGACAGCAGGATCTTCTCCAAACAAATCTTTAAACATCGCCTTCGTATCTGTACCCAGACTTGACACATGGGACTGCCAGTCCGGACTGCTGAGAAACGGCCAAGGGTGGTGCCAGGGGGGTCAATGTATAGGCATATATATGCGTATATTATATATGGCAGTCCTATGGAGTGTCTGGGATAGATGGTCGATTAATTTGAAGCAAAAAAACTCACAGATTACAGTAGCCCGCATAGAAGTCCAAAGACTGTACTTTGCCTCAATGAAGTAAACAAAATTCCCGAAACCGCATCCCCTGTTCGTCAGACCATTCTCTTCGGGTTTGACTTTCCAGGAAAGAGGTTTCCCACTCCAAATGGTGGAGGTGTTTGATGAATTTGTATTTTTATATAATATATTGATATATATATATATAGATGAACTGTTATTATTTGTCTTTTTCCTTTATATAACATTGACCCTTTTCTTCTTTTGACCTCACGACTTTTTTCTTCTGTGTTGTTCCTCTTTTAGATCAACGTATGTCCTGGGGTCACTGTCTTGGGACCAACCATCCGCTGTCTTCTCCCGGGGCTCGGCACGGGGGTCCTCCTTGCTGCCACTTCACCTGGCAAGGCGTGACCGCCATGGCCGTGGTCACGAAGACACCGGTGTTCAAAGCCCTGCAGATCTTCCCTGAGAGTCCGGGAAATTTGACGAACATGACCTACCCCGACATTGGATCGACTTGGGGAAATTGATGGATGGACGACCAGGTAGAGTAGAGTCTGAGTCCAGTCGCGGAAGTTCTGGGAGAAGCAGAAATCCAATACCAGCACCCTCCAACAGGCTGTTTGCCCTAACAAGTGGTTTCTGGGCACCTGTTGTCACCAGCACCTGTGAAGTCGGGTGCTGGTAGAAGCCTCTCAGAAGGTGGCCGGTAGCAGCTCCAGATGTCTCTCCGTCTGTGTTCGCCCTCCCCGTCCAAGACCGCTCGGGACAGATCGGGTGACCGGATGGTCTTCGTGTGAAACCCTTATAGTAAAACAGCGATCGGTTCGGTGGTTCGGGATGACCCGGGCTATACCAAGAGAGGTAGCCAGTGACCTGAACTAGGACCCGTCACCTGGAGTACCTATGGGAGAGTCTATAGGGTCCTTCAACCTTTGTTGGTACTTGAACAAAATGGTGGGCCACGACGACTCTGTAGGATATATATCAATGGTCGTTCCTCGTATGGCAGCTGGAGATCCTTAAGAGTCGCCATTGACATAGCAAGTGGTTGTTTGGGGATGTCCATCCATTTGTGGTGTCGAGACTACTCCAAGTGGTCGCTCCAAGTTCCAGCTCCCTAGCTCCCTAGCTCCAAGCTCCCTAGCGCTGCAGAGCGAAGCGAAGAGCTGTGGTCGCTCCCGACACCACCAGCTGGGCCGGTGAAACTTTCAAAAAAATATACTGCACTCCCTGGAACGTCCTAATGGTGACGTGGATGGCATGGCCTTGAAAGATGGCATGGCCTTGAAAGGATCACCAAACAGAGGGTGTTCCACTTTAAGTTAGTTCCAGGGAGTGTAGAAAACATTAGCAACCCCATGGGTAGAAGTGGAGTGTTCTGTTCTGTTCGCACAGGGCCAGAACAACTCACCAGCTCGATACCTTACAGTCAATCACCAGCTCGATGGCCATGTGCCAACAAACATCCAAAGTCATAGTCCCCCCTCCACCGAAGTACGGTGGACTGCTGATACCTTGATGAATGAGAGAGGCCCGCAACTTGGTATAAAAAGGGCAGTGCCACACTGAAAACCCCCCTGCTACCTCCCTAGCCTTCAGTTCGACCATTCAAAAAATTGATGATCTGGTTCTGTAGTCTAAAATCATCTAAACTCCTTGGTAAAACAATGGCTGCTTGGCAAAGACCAGCTACCTGACATGTGGCCTATCGGAACCAAATCATATTTCTTATAGGGATGTTTCATGCGGAGAATATCTCCAGCACAAAGCAATTCCAAACATTTGGATTTTGATCCGTACTGAATCACCAAAAAGATGTTAGCTCCACAAGGGTCGGAGACCTTTCTCTTCCCTTTCCAGTTCCTGGGCGACCCCAAAAGCATCACCACCACTTCTCAACAAGCTCTTCTCTCTCTCTCTCTCCCTAAAAAGAGGTTCAAAATGAAACAAGGGCCTCCACAGCAGCAGCTCGGGAGAAGGGAAACGCAGCTCTTCCTCTCCTTCATACTGCAGCATATTCCTTCCATTTAGTTCCTCGATGTTGGAATGGTGAATGGCATTGCTACACATCCAGGGTCACCCCCTACCTTCCTTTTGCCTCAGGCCGGCAGCCAGTATTTAAAAGAAATGGGCACTCCCAGCACCAAACGACACACGTCCGGCCGGGAAGCTCGCGACCTGCAGGAGCTCGGACAGGAAGCTCTGGAAGAGCGGTATCATGACCTGCTGCTCGCTGCAGCACACCGCCCGCACCTCAGCGTTTGCACGAGCGTGGGGCGCGAAACCCGGCGCGATACAGGGGTGATCGCGTGGAGGACCAGGTTGGACGGGGCAGGCGGCACGGAGGAGAAGGTAGAGGACGGATTTCGTGGGTGACTGCACATCATATTGATATATATTGATGTTCAAAATGGTTCAAACATGGTTCAATCAAACATCTGTTACAACCTACCACCAATCTTTTCGGCTACCTGAGATCTTTCTCCCCTCCTTTTGGAAGCGTTGGAAGCACCTGGTTCCCACGTCCTCGCACCGACCGTCCTCGGGCCCCGTCGGGCCCCGGACTCCTGGCCCTGCCCGTTGGAGGCTCAACTCGCAGTAGACGTTCAGCTTGTTGCTGGTGGAGCCTTGGTCCAACGGAAAAACCGAGGCAGTCCAAGAGCTGGGCAAAGCTGGGAGCCGGGAATGCGGAGTTGAGGCATATAGAGACCATCATACACCCTCTTTTTTGACGTCAATCGAAAACAACTTGTTGCGGACACTAAAGTGCCGGACATGTCCGAACTTATATATTAAGTGTCCGACCCCTAGCCAGACCATCTTTAAAATGGTCTTTGACCCATCGTCCAAGGCCCCCGCAATTAAAGTACAGCAAATCCATGTCTTGTGCCTGCCCATCTGCACCCCAAACGCACGCGCCGCGCACGCGGCGGTTTGAAGCGAAGCTGATGCGGGGTTGGGTTTGGACGTGGTCCAAAGCAACATCGAAGGCGTCCAACAAATATAAAAGCGGAGCCTTCATAGGCAGGAAGTTTGGTCGGTTGGTTGCTAAGTCTGTCATCTGCCCTCTGACCAACTCCTTCCCCTTGGGTCCAAATCGAGACGCCTGGGCCACTGGTTTTGATGGAATAATCGAGCTGTTTTGTAATAAAGGGCTTTAGACTAAGACCAGGTCAACCTTTCTTTTAATGCTTAAACGGAAGGCTAGGGGTCTGGTGATGACTTGGATTTGCCGGCTGCCAGAAGTGGTTTTGCCGGGAACAGCTACAGGAAACCCCTAGTCTTGGGCAGTCAAAACCACGGGTTTCCTGTAGATGTTCCCTTCAACCTCCTTCAAACACTTCTGGGATGGGAGGAATGACCTCATCTCACCTTCGTCCCCGCCAGCTCAGCAGGCAGCCTGTGTTTGGGCCACCAGGAAGCAGTAGTATTGCTGCATCCTGGGGGGCTGCGGGCCAAGGTGGACCAAAGGGCCGGAGACAATGACAGGCAGGCCATCTGCAATTTGGGATAGTACTTTTCTCTGGACTTTGGGATAGAGAGAGAGAGAGAGACAGAGAGAGAGAGAGAGAGAAAAAAAAAGAAGAGCTACAGTACCCCCAAAACGACCTCTGGCAAAGGACACCTTCTTTCGCCTTCTTTGGTCCAAACTGCTTCCGGCGGTGTCCAGCTTGGCAGCTTCGCCCGGCTTGCGCGTGCAAGCGGCGCTCGCGCTCGCTGGGCTTTGATTTGATCGAACTCCAGTGTTGCCACCATCAATTCCTGTCGGCCATATATGCACCCCCAAAAAGGGACCATGACACAGTTTGTTCTGCCTAGAACTAACATGCAAGCATGCACCCGGGCGCGCCCCCGTCGCGCGCCCCAAGCGCGCCCTTCCACCCGTCCCGAACCGTCCCGAAGCGTCGTTCTCTCGGGAGCGAACCTCGTGGAGACCATCTGCGCACTGACCTT